TCGTCTATAATGACGTCACATGAAATTATTCAATGTGTTATTCAAAAGGGCCTTCGCATGCCACCGAATTACACGCATTTCACAGATTCGTGGTCTCTGCACCAGACAGAGAAGACAAATACAGGCAGACAGAAAATTCTTTTAGACTATTATAGACCATTTATTATCACGGGGGTGGTGACGTTAACACTTTTGCCTCTGCTATTACCTCATAGGCTTATATGTCCCTCGATGTGTTCTGTGGTCCATTTAGGCCAATAAGTATATTCGTTTCGATAATATGATCTCGTTTGTGTAAATTTTCCAAGTGAACACTTTATTTTGGTGCTCCGGATAAGATTATCATAATTAGGATCAAAGCCCCATCATCACCTTATGTGACGGGAGTGGGTGCAAATATAGCTGTTCCTACTTTATTTTAAAACAAAGAAGATTTTAGGTGCGTTAACCGTGTATGTGTTGGTAATGAGGGACTCGCTGGATTATAGTCATAAGCCTATGTTGTGCAACAAGGAGCTGCGATGGAATGGGTGACTCTGCCTTACAGACAAACAGTATTTAGACTCCGAGAGACATGAGCTCCTGTAATGCTACCCCTGGCTACAAAGGAACGCAGCCCTTGTCACAAGAGACTAGAATCAGGAAGGGCCAATGGCTGAAATCCCTGCTCACTGTTAGGAAAGCAAACTAGACGTTCATGTTTTGTTACTGGAATATAGCACAGTGGCATTATAACGATGCCTGTTTGATCTTTTAACACATGTCAGCTTAACCTTTAAAACCCAGAGGTAATTAACTACATGCAGTTACCAGTTGCTTTGCCATTCAAGAGACTGAATTTTGCTCACGGAGTGTATTAATGGATTTCGTATTATATTCAAAATAAACGACATTTTCTTTAACAGCCCTGACCTATTGATCTTTCTAATGGAGATGAGTTGTTTCCTTTGAGATTAGAATTGAATATTTAAATTTTAATTAGACCAGTTTCGGGGATCAAGGATTAAATCACTTGGGAACAAAAACAAGAATATGAGATGTAAGATAATGCCATCTAGTTCAGTGGTAATCTGTTTAATCCTTTAAAGCCGAATGGCAATTATACGTACCAGCTGTTTTAACAAACGTTAATTCTACATTTTGTATTTATGGGTTTTGTGTGATTCTCAATGTAAACAGGAACGATTTCTTTAAACAGCGTTAACAGTTGATTTTTGCAGCTGTGAAATTTTGTGTTTTCTTTATGGTACGGATTAAGTTATTAAATATTATTTGGACCAACTATGGTATCATAGCGTTAATGAATAATACATCTGCAAAATAACCGCTTTGAGGTTCCATAAAATTACGTATTGACATTGTTACATTTTAAAAGACAATTACAAAGTAGTTAGTACAAATTACAAATTAATGAGCGTCGTCATTTGCTGTCATCCACAAATATTTAGAGTGTTAAAATTAAGGAGGATAAAATTGGGGTGGAATATGTACCCTGAGAATATTAGAGATGTGTACGAAATTTCAGCCAGAAAATGTGAAATTAACAGACCAGATGAAAAATTGTACGTGGACCATTTTGATTAATCTCACGATACGTTTTTGTATGTGGGGAGAGGAGGGTCTGAAACGAATCGGTTAGCTCCGGAGTCCAATCTGATCTTTTCCGTGTATTTATGTGAAATTATTTGTTATGTACCCTGTGATCTGTGTACAATTATCTTTACGCATAAACTGCATGTCATGGAAAGCGCGGCTTTTAGTGTCTAAATATAAGTCCATTTCTATTCTAGCTGCGCGACCCTGGGAGACTATAGATTGAAGAGTTAAGAATTTTCTCTCTTAGGACAAACTCTTCCTTAGCAAAGCCATTGGAGCCTCTTGTCGATACGGAGGAAGGCACCTGGGCCGTCATACCCACCTGGTCTGTAATTGATCCTTCCGCTCTAAAAAGAAAGATGGCAGGGATAAATTTCTCTTTCATGTAATCCCTGAAACACCAGCTCGTAGTTCTACGACGAAATATATCTTGAGGTGATGTCATATTGTTGCCGGATGTCCACAAGTACATCCACAGTAATTGTTTTTGTGAGCCAGATACGTAGTAATGCTTAGGATACGAACCTTACTTTATAGGTTATAAAATACGTATGCAGTGTTGGCATGCATTCTGGAATTTCATTCTGAGTTTTATTTGGAACATATTATTATTACTGCACTGTGAGATTTTAGGTTCTTACGGCGGCTTGTATCAAGATGGCTGTCTCCTTGGTTGTTGAGCAGGTTTGTCTGGTTAAGTTACTCGATGTTCCTCATATACACACCTCCGTTGGAGATTGTTTGATATCAACAGTTGTTCCATTTGTTCCTTCTTGATGAACATTGCCATTCTTTAATTTCAGTCGAATGTTCGTGTTCCTGATCGCTTTCCACTGCCAAATATTGCAAAGGTTTAAATCAATTGACTATTGGTGACCATTATAATTTAATAATCAATATTAGATGCTAAAATTCATTTGTATGCAATTCCATGTAAGTGTTAACATTTTAATAGCCTCGCATATATAATATTTTAAACATAACGAATACAAAGAATGGGACTGATTTTACAGAAGCTATTAATGGCTTAGCTAATCAATAAACTTCTTACCTTTTAAAGCATCCTAATTAGTGCTGTGATCCAACCAAAGAATATAGCTAGAAGTTATTGCCAGTTGCTAGGCACTGTCTTGGAGGCCTTTAGAAAGGAGATGGTTTGCCCTATATAAAGTATTTCGTCCCTGCTTTTGGTGAAAATTGTAAAGGCTGTCAAGTATTAAAAAATTAGGAGAATCCACTCACTTGCTGAATCGAACTTCTCCCTAGTAGACACCATTATTATCCCTGCTCAAAATTGTGTGCGAATAGAGAAAATAAACACATCTCTGGTAAATGCAGACCAGTACTCTGTTTTGTGAGGTCGCAGTCTATTGCCGATTGTGAGATAATATTGAACAGAATATGCAATTTAAATCAATATAATTTAATATTCTTATACTCTCGCGTTTGTTGGTGATCCTCGTCTTTATATTACGTATGCAGCGGAATTTAAGTCTAAGGACATTATTTCGCATCAGAGGAAAATGCAGTGGAGGGGGAACAAGTAGTGCTTCATGTCATCTGCGGCTACGAACAAAGGTACGAAGCGCTGCATGCAAATGAATCTTCGGGACGTAAAAGGGCTAAGAGAATTATAATCGCACGCGACATTTAAAATTATATCATATTTAACGTGCACTCTGGTCCAGCTCCACAAATTCCCCCTGTACCAAAATGAGCAGAAAACGGATTACAATCCCCTCTGCAGGAAATACGAACTTTGAATGTTAAAACTGCTATAATTTGAGTTCCCGTCAATAAGTAAGTTACATGCTCGAATTTATTTTAACAGAATGTTAACTTATTTACAAAGTAACGGAAATATTGTCGTCGTAAGCCAGTAACCAAGACTTATATTTCTCATTTCATACCATTTTTATCGAATATAACAACAGATGAACGTCACCGTGATATTTATTGTGTTCTGATAAATCAGTTTCAATTTGATATTTTCCTCCGAAAATATTTGTTGTGTTTAAAACGTTTAACTCAAATGAGGATAATCCAAGTTGAGGATGTGATAGTCCTATTCGTTTAGCTATTCAATGCGTTTTCAGGTATTTTAGGGAATTCGATGTATCGTAACAGCTTCCTTTACGTTGCGAATACGTACATAGCACAGAACGTGCACTTCAAGGGATCGAAATTGAATGCCGGACCACTGCAAATTTCTCACATGTTTGAGAGGATCCCGACTGATGGACCGCGACAAGGCAACAGGTTCCTGGTGCGAAATACGGGGTACACATGTTTGTCCTCAGTCTTCCTGTATGCAACAAAGTCCGATTTAACTTACATGTACATGTGCAAGAAATCCGTACAAAATCAGAACATAAAATTTGTAGTGATGAGGGGAAGGCGTAGGGAAGACGGAAAAGAGTTGAAGTTTTACTGATTTTCTTCTGCTTTAATTTCGACACTATCTGTAGCATTTTGATACAGTCACATTTACACTACACTGCACCATGTGAACCAAAGAAACTATAAAACACTAGCAGAGCACACACCTCAAGCCGCTCCACATCCTAAACGTGATCGTATCGCATCCATAAGGATCAGGCTGCCTCTCAGTACGTGCCGTAGGTTCGCGATTTTGCTCCCTACCACGTGTGTATTTGTAAGGGTCGACGAACCTCGCAGTTATTTTGCGTCTGCTGTACCTGGCCAAGTTTGATAAACGTCAATCTGATAAATTTACAGTGAATTTGATTGTTTTAAAGTTTTTCGCGTTAAAATATTGAGGGTGAAATTAATTTTTCAAAGTAATATTTTGTGATGTTGAATAGAAGTTCATATTGTACATACACACGTGCAAAAACACAAGCAGGGCTTCAGAAATGATGCCAAGGCCACTGGTTAAACAAAAAATTTATTTGCAACCAGTAAGCATTAACTATATAATTTATTTAACTTTAAAACAAAAAGGAGAAAGTTTATATTTATCATGGATTTTGGAAGGTATCACAATAACACCCGCTCAAAAAACATTAAAATTTAAGTTAGTTAACAGCAGGACTTGGTGTAATCATGGCCACCAAAGAAATATTTCACAAGTCCTACCTGCCATACAACTTACTCTGTTATTATAATGCTTAATTAAGCCTACACAAAAGGCTAAACTTGGTAAGCAAAGTAAAATTAACTCAGGTAGTAACAGGAACTTACAGATGTAAACTATTGGACGTTTACTTTGTAAAGCACAGACGTAAATGTTTTTGCTGTTTTCGCGTGAGAAAGTTTCTGAGGGCAACGTTGCTGTGTCTGCCACCAGAAGTAACCTTTTTTTTCCATTTCCTGAAAACTAAATTCCAGTGTTCAGTTGTAATTAAAACAAAAGAATCACTCTGCTCTCTTCAAATCAACAGACCGAGACTTCTGGTACGAGGAAGCCAGGGCCGCATTGCGACGCAGGCTGTCTGGTGACGGCAGTACGGGGTCCGCGCGCCCTGTGGCTCGCAATGTGATACTTTTTGTGGGAGATGGCATGGGACTAGCCACCATCACTGCTTCTCGGATTCTTCGCGGTCAACGCGATGGACGCCCGGGTGAGGAGACACGTCTTGCCTGGGAAAACTTTCCCGCTGTCGCACTTGCCAGAGTAAGTACTTTGCTCATTTTGTTTTCGAATGATGTTGTGACAGCTAGACATTACTCGCCAAAGTGCTCCAAAACAACAGTGAGAAAACAAATGGCTTGTACAGATTTCTACCTTTACTGTAATGTTTTCTTATGACCATTATTTTCAGTTTGCGGGTTAGGAATCTATATCTTTTCTGGCTTCAGAGTTCCGTCCCTTCTAGGTATTCCCGACAATGCCAATTTAATCTGCTCAATTAATTCGGAAATTTTATACCAAAATATTTTTTCTCCATTACGATTAAAACCTTAGAGTTCTTATTCTGATTATTATACAGCGTAAGCTGAACAAAACTCGACCCAGATCTACTTTTAATTTAAGAGCGATGTGAATCTTGTATAATATTCTTAACTGAGTTGTACGTAATGCAAAGTGTAAGATTAACTGTCGCATCTTTATTGGTTTTGGAACTTGTGGTTCATTCACTAGAACATCCAATAAGTAGGAAAGCCATAACCTGGTGGAATTATTTTATCAGGATTATCTTATTATTAATGCAGTCGTTGCAAAATTCTATGGATTTATCCTATTGCCAGTATCTTGTCTAAACCCTCTTCTGAACCAGACTATTACAGTGTACACCCTCACAGAGTCTTCAAATGCATTTTAATATTATATATCAATGTTAATTTCCTTGTTTCCATACTAAAATAGCATACCTTTCTCATCTACCCACGCGTGCTACAATTCCTCACCGTTTAATGGTCACAGCTGTAGCTCTTTGTATTTCTTATAGGTGAAAGAGGCATGCTTTACCCTGTCAAGGAATTTCTGCTTGTAAATCCTTCTTAAAAACAAACGTGTATCACACAGATGCTCTTGTAATCCTACCGCCAACAGACATGATGCACTGCATACTGTGGAAGGTAGCACGACTTAATTAAGGAATTTTATAACTTCCGAGAAAATCCTTCACACAGGTGAACAATATAATCTGCGAGCATTACCTTGAAAGTCTGTGTTACTTTAACCTGAAACTTTAGTCAGTTGTAGTCAATTATGCAGAAAACTTTCGCTGAACTATTCTAATATATATTTTTGTTAGCTGGGAAAAACATTTCAAACTTTGTCATAAAACTTATGTAAAGCAATATGATGGGAAGCAAAAATTGTATGAAAATACTATAGAAAACTTTCATCTCTGAGCCCTGTAGGCCTCCAAAATTAATTCTGAAACGCTGTGGCATGAGTAGGGGGAAATTAGATTTTAATCGCAAAATAAACAACGAAGCAATGCGCAAGTAGGCGGGCGTCGCCAGCGCCCCTCCATGTGGCCTACGTTACTAAAGAGGATGTAATGTTTTCAGTCCTAACAGTAACCAACGTCATTCGACTATGTTTCTTTACAAACTTATAGTAAGAAGACAGAAGTCTTCATACTCACCGCTGTGAAAACCTCAAATCATATATAAACTTATAGTAGTTCAGTAGTCAAATTCGCAGCGATATACAGAAGATGATGGTTCATTATCTTTTTCACACGAGACCGTCATTGGACCATAGCCAGTCGAATCCAATCCACACATTTACGTCATCTTTCCTGATAAACTTTAATATTATCCGTTCTTATGCACCTAGGCCTCTGTGCTGTAGGTGATAAAAGGGAAATTTCTGTTATAGAGGGAAGCATAGTCCTTCAGTTGTTTCCTTGAACACATTGAATATAGAAACGTGTTTCTGGCAAGAGTTGTGGGTGTTATTAAATTCTTATATTTTACATCCTATACTATTATGTTGGTGGATTGAGTCCATTTATACGTAATGCAGGAGTTGTATTTGGACTGACACGAATCAAAATTAAATTCACTAGCGCCTGTACGTGTAGATCACAGATTCTAAATTTAATTAAACACGTTAGTTTTGGTCTTTAAACGTGAGAACTGACGTACAGTTAGAACAACAGAAAGAGCATGTTTTATTATAATAAAATATAAGAATTTAACTTAATTTTGGGTTATAACATGAAATATACACCAGAGTTCGGTAGAACTGCTTACGTACCAGTTATAGATTTGCAGCCTACTAAAACTACAAGAGTGAATTAAGTTATTTCAGTATGCTAAAGCTTACTAGGGGATTTATTTGTCTTTATCTGTTTCTTAAGTCCTTAATACTTATCTTACAAATTAGAGTAGTGAATATTTAAGAGTTTTATTTCGCGTTTCTACTGGTCTGATCTCAGAAGAAAGTGAATGTACGAAGTTTATGCCACGTTTCGCTACAGATGTGATGGTGTTTAATTATTGGCTATCAGTAGGTCTGTATTAGACTAATTTGTTAAATATAACAGTATTCTTACGACTGAAATTAATTTCGCGTTCGAAACTTACAAAAAAGTCATGCGAACCGGACAGCTTATTTGGAACGATTGAATATACGTTTTAAAGGACATGAAAATTGGTCTTTGGAATATCCTTTTAAACTACCGACAAATCTCACTACGTTGTGCTTGCAATAAAATATTCAGGTATCAAATTTCCTGTAGTTAAGTGTAGTGTGCTGTGTAGTAAATGGACTTCTTATTATAAATTTGTTATTTATGTACAGAAGTAGGCCAAAACGGAATTAGAGCAACGACCACTCGCTGCTATTAGGCAGGGTGTTGATCTTAATTAATTGATTACATCACCATTCTGAATAATTAATCCCTTGTTTAATGAAGTTCCGCTGTGAGAAGTGTGCTAATTATCAGGCTGCAGGAAAGTTTCAAAACAAGAGAAATATCGAGAACTACTTCGGCAAAGTTGAAACGCTCATCAGTCTGATAATATTATTTTACAACCTACGGGACAGAGTACTGTAATTTAACTGCTTCCGTTCTTTTCACGAAACAAATAACCGTTATTTATAAAACTTAGCAAATATGGAACAACTACGCAGATCTCCAATTTATACGCGGTTACTATTTTCGGTTATTTCATTCAGAACAACAATTTCGTATAGAATCTAAAGAGAATAAAAGAAAAAATTAAAAATATAAGAAGTTGAACGATTGGAAATCTTGCGGTTGTGGTGTAAGATTGCAGATTCAGGATCAGCAGAGACCAAAGATTATTTGGTTTGGGAAGTCAGCGTGAGGTTTACCGTAGCTTGAGTACTTAAACAAATGTCGTCGTTCCCAACTCCCGGAACCGGACTTTGCTGAATCTGGACTGAGTTCTGTTTCATGTCTACTCTACTCTATTCTACTCTAACATCAGCTCTCGGGTTTACCCAGCCTCCTTTCCAATGGATACAGAATGCCCTTCACCCTTCAGATGCCAAAACGTGAAGCTGACAATTCATTTCTGTCTTGAGCGGAGGTCAAGAAAATGTGGAACGATACATCCATTACCCCCAGACGTCTTCGTGGCTTAGTGCTTAGTAAGTGCCAGGGACAGCGTTATATATCTTTTATCTAGTTACATTCTTCCGAATATTTTAAGTATTTGACACACAGACTACATTACTGATATTCGAGTTGTTCACGACGGCTAGTATGGTGTTTTGTTTTGTTACATTGTGTGCTCTGGTAGAAGTTTACATACTTTTTATAGGTGCTTGCTACATTGCTTAAGAATAACGTTGTTGACTACCTGGTGTTTTATTTTAACACATCATATGTATGCACGATCTAAGACATAAATGATTAATTAAACTGATCTCAGTTCACATTTAAAATATTTGAATTGGTGGTGATGATGATGTGTGCAGAACCTCGAAATATAAAGCCGAAGAATGCGATACAAAAGTAAAGGCGATTTATTTATTTGTATTTTATTTAATGACGTTGCCAGCAGCTCAGGCTGTATAGCGTACGATTATGTGATGATTAATTAATAATGAATTGGAAAGTATATGAAAGAAGACTGAAGTTAATTCAAGGTAGCTTAATGTCTCAGAACTTGTTTGGAGAGAAGGAGAGAAGACCACGAAACTCCTGTCTCTGGGCCCGAATTTGAGTCCGGAATTCCTCGAATGCAAAGCAGAATAACTAAGTACTCGCTGGACTTTCGATTGAAGAAGTTGAGTCGACGGTGTTTTAACATGATTCGTTACTGTTCTTTTAATTTAATTATGCCATATTGTAATGCACACGCCGCATTTTACGTATGTGGCAGCTTCTGTGTTTGACACCGATTACAAATCGTCAGGCAGTTGGCTGAATGCTCCGTATCCATAACTACGGCCTTCTTGCAAGAGACTGTTGTTCCGTGTTTCTGCGTGTATGAATAATTCAGCGGGAGAGAGACCCACGGATTGTCGCAGTGTCTCAGACTAGCGTATTCGGAGCCAACAGAATCTTTGGCTTGAAGCGTGGGCGCAGGATACGTGCTCAATGACTGAGTTCAGTGTTTCACAAAGTATCTTCATCAGGGGTGGGGGCTCATGAAACCCCAGCAAACCGCTTTCATTCTTTTTTCAAGACACATTACCCCATTGTCTCATTTTTCTTCTAACCCCACCTCTTTACATCCAGTCTCTTTTGCTCTAAATCACGATTCGCCACCACAAATGCGACTGTCTTTTTGAGGTAGTATTCATTGTCAGTCAGTTTTATTGTTTCTTCGCGTTTTAAAGGAAAAACAAAGTGAAGGCAATTTTTAGGTGGTAACTAAGCTTATTGCATCAGAACAAATGTAACGTAGGCTACGTTCTCATGCATGCATTGAAGGAGCACTGGTATGAACCAAATTATTTTCATTTTTATCTTGTGATGAATTATAGTCGTCAAAGAATTTAATGACGTTCGAATACTCTGACCTACTTTCGCGGTCAAAGTATGGTAATGGGTTGAATCCACTCAGAAAAGTTTCATGACAAGAAAATCAATGTGCGAAAGGTCAAACATTGAAAAGGTTGCACACTGTTGATGTGATAAGGTTGATGGCGTTAGCAAAAACAAAATGAGGACTCGACATTGGCAGTGGAGGAACTTTGGTCTCATCAGAGCTATGTTATTCCATCATGAATAGCAATTG